TTTGCTCCCTATATATCAAAGTGTATATGTCAAAGTGCTCCCTATATGTCAAAGTGTATACCTATATCAAAGTGTATATATCAAAGTGCTCCCTATATATCAAACTGTATATATCAAAGTGTATATATCAAAGTGCTCCCTATATATGCCTTCTGGACAGCAGCCAGGTCGGTAGTCTTACCCATGATTGCGGTTTTGAGTAATGAACAAGGCTGGGAGTTTTGAAAAGCCTCAGGAATCTTTTGCAGGTGTTTAGAGTTACGTCGTTGATTCAGATGGTTAGGTTAATAGCTTGCTTAGAGAAACTTTTCATGATATGCTAATTTTTTGAGACAGGCATTTTGGGTTTTCATGAGCTGTATGCCATAATCATCAGTATTAAAACAATTAAAGACCTGAAATATTTCAGTTGGTGTGCAATGAATCTGAAATATATGAAAGTTTCATTTTTATCATTACATTATGGAAAATAATGACCTTTATCACAATATGCTAATTTTTTGAGAAGGACCTGTATATATACTATATTACACTTATGTCATATGATATGGATGTTAAAGCTAATGTCATTGTATTGTTTTGTGTCACGATATATTTGACTCATAACTCTCTTTATTAATCTATTTGCAGAAGTGGTGTTGCAGCCAACCCCAGCCCTCACCTGGATATCCACCGGTGGAATCCTGGATCTGTACATTTTCCTGGGTCCTGACCCTCAAAGTGTGATAGGACAGTACATCCAGATCATTGGTACACGTTTCACCATGTTTATATTCAGTCATACTACTCTAATAAGGAATGTGCACGTTTTAAGCGGAGAACATGTAAAAGCTTGTCAGTGCAGGTCGGATAACGGTGACTGCATTTAGTTTAATTATGTTATTTATCTGCATCCAGGACATCCTATGATGCCTCCTTATTGGTCACTGGGTTTTCATCTTTGCCGCTGGGGTTATACGACCACTAACGCAACCCGAAAGGTTGCACAGCACATGCACGGCGCCAACTTCCCTATGGTAAATTTAATGTGCAAGACATTTTCCTTCTAACACAGTGCACACTTAGACTGTGTATTGAATTATAAACCTGTAAAATTCCTCCTTTTTAAACTGTCAAAAGTTGACATTTTTAAAGATCACTGAGGCTTTTATTTTGTAGGGGCTCAATAGAGAACATTAATATCCTTTGAAAAAATCTGCAAAGTGCACAAGTGGCAAACTTATTAAAATACTTTCTTAATCATTTGTGCAATGCAACACTTCATAATTGTGATTGTTTGTGTAACTTCTTCAGTTTCAGTCCTTATTAAATGTTGTTTCTGTTGACAATAAAAAAAAAATGTCACCCTCAGGACGTTCAGTGGAACGACCTGGATTATGCAGATAAGCGAAGGGTGTTCACCTTCGACCCCAGGAGGTTTGGAGACCTGCCAGACATGGTGCAGGAGTTTCATAACGGAGGCATGAAGTATATCCTGATTCTGGTGCGACATTTTTAAACCTTTTGGTATTCATTTAATTATCATTGTTCGATCATGAAATAATAAAAAAAGACAATTGAAAAGTTATTATTTCAAGATATGTAGAAACTAAAAGGTTTAAGCAGTACTAGTCGGTTTTGTCCAGTAGATGGTAGCAGAATTGCTTTATTTGTTTTGTCTTCTGTTTTTTTTTTTTTTTTTTTTTGTGGCGGTTTAGGACCCCGGCATCAGCAGCACCAGCCCCCCAGGTACCTACCCTCCCTTTGAAGAGGGACTGAAACGAGACGTCTTCATTAAAAACGCCACCGGAGACATTCTGATAGGAATGGTCAGACACCTTGATTCCTGAGGAGCCATCGTGTGAACGGTTTGCAGTTTGTGTAGCTTCAGTGAGCATGTGATCTGTTGCACAGGTCTGGCCCGGTCCAACAGCATTTCCTGACTTCACTAACCCAGAAACCAGACAATGGTGGGAGGACTGCATCAGAGACTTTTACTCTAGAGTCCCCGTGGATGGTCTGTGGATTGTGAGTTTTGCAAACACGTAAAGTAGATCATTTACCAGCCTGTCATCTAAAATACAAGCTTTCCAATTCCGTTTGCTTTCTTTTCACATTAAAAATCTTTAAAATGAAAAATTGGGGGGAGGTTATTTTCTTATTTTTTCTGCTCCCATCAGGACATGAATGAACCAGCAAGTTTCATTCAGGGCTCAATGGAGGGCTGTCCTGACAGTGAGCTAGAGAGACCACCATACACACCCAGTGAGTGTGTACCATATCTTTCAGATTATAAGGCGCATTAAGCGAAGCAAAACAGATCAACTCATTCACAATAACTCAACATTGTTCAGTTGTATCACATAAAATCGGTTCGAGGTCAGTAAGCACAACCTGAATTAATACATAAGATGCACTGTTGATTTTTGAGAAAATTCAAGGATGCTCTTTTCTGTCACTTAAATAGCACATACAGATATACATACGTGTAAAACTGAATTTGTGGTGCAGGGCGTTCATTTACAGCTTGTCTGAATGTCACAAACAGGAATGGTCGGAGGTCAGCTGAACTCAGGAACAATTTGTATGTCGGCTCTGCAGAAGCTGTCCACTCATTACAACCTGCACAATCTTTACGGACTGACTGAAGCCTCCGCGACACACAGGTCAGATCAATGCAGTCACGTGTACTGTAGTCAAGAGATGTTGAAACAACCCCAAGAATGGCTGCTTTAAATAAGAAGTTAGAAGCTTTACAAGTGATTCAACTGAAACAATAAAGTCAGTTGTTTTGATTTAGGGTATGAGATTAACCTTTTTTAAATTTCATTGAATTTTCTAAAGTAGCTCATTGATGTTTAACACAAGCAGGAAAAAAAAATCAAGAGGCAGAAACTAGAAGGAATGTTGGAGAAATATTTGTAAAAAACGCACAAGTGAATGTTTGTTGTTCTCTTTACAGTGTATTTATCTTGTTTAATTTGTTGTCATCCTCAGTGCGCTCAAGAAGATTTGTGGGAAGAGAGCTTTCGTGTTGTCTCGCTCTTCCTTTCCCGGCATCGGCCATTTCTCTGCGGTGTGGACCGGAGACGTCCGGAGCGACTGGGAGCAGCTTCGGTTCTCCATCCCTGGTGAGTTCATGTAAAGTGGAAAAACGCTGCCTCTTTTTAGCTCTCTTTAGAACATCAAAGTCCATGCGCAATAATCCAGGTAAAAAAATCAAACAAAGTTACGTCAGGTCATCTGGACGGTTTCTTTTTTTGTTGAGCCATTTCGTTCTCCATCCAAAGGACTTCACCTGATTGAATTTTGTTGGATTTTTTACCTGGATTATTGAGCATGAACTTTGATGTTTTGAACCACTGGCTGCCTCAGAGGAGTCGACGGGGGAGAGGGCGAACTCTAGAAACCATCTTATCACCATAAAACTGGTTGGTCCACTATGTGAGTGTGCTGCTTGTGGGACTCAGTTTGTTGTGGCTCCTCAGACTGATGAAGTCTTTTGGATGAAGGACGAAACGTCTCAACAAAAAAAGAAACCATCCCGATGGCCTGACTTTGTTGGGCTCTCTTTAGGACATTTTCATAGAAAGATTGTGCAACATAGTTTTTTTTTTCATTTTTGTTTATGAATGAGGATTTTCCTAAGAGTCAAAGTTTCCTTCTGCTTTTGAAGTCCCGTACATACAATCTGAGTGGAGAGATTTTCTGTGAAGTTTTGTGCCAATCCCCCGTAGCGGTGCTGCAGTTCAGCCTTTTTGGGGTGCCTCTGGTGGGAGCGGACATCTGTGGCTTTGGAGGCGACACCACCGAGGAGCTGTGTGTGCGATGGATGCAGCTCGGAGCCTTTTACCCGTTCATGAGAAACCACAACGACAAGCCCAATGCTGTGAGACACTCAAACGTTTTTAAATTAAATACTACTACTTTATATCTTTGTTAAAATGTAGAAGTTTCACTGAGTTTGTTCAAACACCGACACCAGTACAGTAGTTTTTTGATGAAGTGGAGCTCAGGCCTCCTGGAGCAAAGCAGTCCATCTGTTTCATGATTTAGGTGGAGCAGTAACTGTCATCTCTCTCCGTCCATGTGTTTTCTCTTGTCCCGTCCATCAGCCTCAGGAGCCGTACGTGTTTGGGCAGAAGGCCCAGGCGGCCATGCGGAGCGCATTAAACCTTCGCTACTCTCTTCTCCCGTTCCTCTACACACTCTTCCATCATGCACACACTTCTGCTGACACCGTTGCCAGGCCTCTTTTTGTAGAGTACGCGTTGTTTTTTTTCTTATTCATTGTTATTCTTTAGCCCTTAAACAAACTAAGCAGCTTATTTTTAACACTTTTGTTTTATCTATATTAATATAACTTGTAGATTCCCCACTGATCGTAAGTGCCAGCACATAGACCAACAGTTCCTGTGGGGCAGTTCACTTCTCATCAGTCCAGTTTTAGTCAAAGGGGCAGTCGAGGTGAAGGCGTATCTGCCAGCTGGTGCTTGGTACAGTCTGCACAACGTGAGTCCACGCGATGGTCTTAACTAATAATGATCATGTTTGGGATACATAAATATTCACTTGAATATATTTTGCCGTGTCAAGGGTCAGCCTTTCTACAGTAAGGGTCAGTACTTCCTCCTGCCTGCACCTCTGGAAACCATCAACGTTCACGTGAGGGAGGGACACATCATCCCCCAGCAGGTGGGTGTCTTCTTAAAGGACTTGTGTGTTATTTTTCCCTCAGCTTGACTGAACATGGTGACAGTAGATGTTTGCAAACCTCTGCTCTTTACTGACTTCATCAGCAGGCGCTGAGCAACGTCTTCGCTGCAGTACATCAGCTCGCACAGTGTTTGCTCCATTGGAACCTTGTCAGGAGATTAAGCTTTGACTAAATGTTTTGTGATCAACTGTTGTGTTGGATTTTGCTGATCTACACAGTTCTGGGCCTCATCCTTAAATTCAAGCAGAAAATCAGTTGAAAGAGTGGAAAAGCTTACACCCTGTTGTGTTTGATCGTGGTTTCCCTGCCAAGGAGCCGGCTTTGACAACCGCAGCATCGCGCAGACGCCCTTTCTTCCTGACGGCGGCGCTGTCAGCAGGTGGCCGGGCCTGGGGCGACTTGTTCTGGGACGACGGAGACAGCCTGGACACGTTTGAAACTGGAAGTTATTCTTGCGTTATCTTCACTGCGGAGCGGGTAGGTAGGAGATGAGAGATGCTTGCATTAGAGAAACGTAGAAACTGTTTCTGAATGTTTGTGCATTAATTCAGTCGCAGGTGGTTGGCGATCCTGTAAAGATGAATAGAGACTTGGACAGTCTGGTCCTGGGGGGGCTTCAAGTGTTCGGGGTGCCCTCACCGCCTCTCTGTGTTTTAGCAAATGGAAAGAATGTCAGTGATTTTACATACCAAGCTGACACCAAGGTGAGTTTTCTGATCAACACTTTGGGAGGATTTTCTACCAGTCATGCAGCTACTTTAACAAAAATACGTCTCTGTGTCTCTTCTCGAAGGTCCTGAGAGTGACTGGTCTGGCCTTACCCATGTCAGAGGTGTTTACAGTCCAGTGGGTTCTCTGATGCACTAAAATCCATCATTTACTGGCCTTCAAAAGTTACCTTCTGCACTGCCGCTGAAGAGATCAGCTGAGATTATCTACAACTCATCAGCCAGATTAATCTCTCAGCCGTTGGAGAGTTTATTATACAGCTCATATTCCTCTTTCAACATCAAAACAAGCAAGTTTATAAAATGTGATTATAAAGAAAAGACATTTTAATGTATGTGAATTATTAAGTTAGCCATTTTTGCTGCTATTACACTGAAAAGGACAAAAATGAGAAAATTGTGTACCTTTGTAAGTTTTCATAGTTTCTTAGGAAAATCTACAAAAAATATATATTTTTATAAACAAATAAAAGGCAAATATGTCTTGTGGTGTTTACTTTGTATGTAAGCTGCAATTCATGCTAATTTATGTTGTTTATATCAATTGAATTAAAATGACTAAAACTAAAGAAATGTGCGAATGTTGATGTGTTACTTCTCATTTAAAGAGCTTTATCTCTGTTGTCATTTTTTAATACTACAAAAGCTTTCTGCATGAATCGATAAAGAAGTCCAAATTTCTTTGGATTTATTTGTGAGAATCTGTTGAACATGGAAAAGTTGTTAAACATTTTTCGTAAAACACAAAGTTTGTTTTCTCAGTCATCCAGGTATATAACAACAAAAAAGGTTGAACCATGTCATCTGGACTTCGTTTTTTTGTTAAAAAGAAACGTTTCGCCCCTCATCCAAGAGGCTTCGTCAGTCTGAGGCCTAGCCATCTGGTAGAAGCCTCTTGGATGAGGGGCGAAACGTTTCTTTTTGACAAAAAAACGAAGTCCAGATGACATTTTTCGTAAAACTAAAACTTTTTTGGTTTTATATTATTATTATTATCATTAAAACAGTACTTAGTGTGCATCTGCTGCTAGTTTGGTGTAAATTTAAATAATGTATAATTCCTTGTCAATATTTATATATTTTTTTCCTCAAAGTATTAAAATTCCTCGTCAGCTGTATGTTTGATCACTGCTAATATTTTAATAAAGAGGTGTGATGAGTTGTCAGGATTGGACCCAGTTTTAGTCAGGCAGATGGAGGCAGCAGAGTTGGTGATGCTCTGACTCCAGCTCTGGTCCTGATGATGGACCAACCACCTTCCAGCCTTCCTGTGACCTCTGAAACGTCACTTGTGATGAAAAGGGTCAACTATTTATATGATAAGCTTGGTAGAATATAACATACTTATAACATACCTCATGCCTAAATTTTATATAAGTGTTTTAAAGATAAAATAAACAATTCCCGCTTTGTGTGACAATAAAAAAAAAAGCATCTACGTGCCGGAAGCAGCTGAGGGATTGGTCTTGGGCTGTGAAGTCAAAACGGAAATATTTCAGGAAGCAAAACGTGATTTTTCAAATTTAAAACGTCACTTGCTTTAAAGAAAAGACGTCGCGCTCGACGCACGTAAGTTTATTTTGAAAGTTCCGAGCGGAAGTCGGTGCTCTTTGCCGTTGACGCCGCAGCTTTGAGGAGTCCGGTTACAGTCGGGGAGCGCTGCGATAAAAACAGGAGCCGAGTGGTAGTAACCCGTGGGAAAACCGCGAGGAAGGAGCTGAAACAGCCGCCTGGTGGTGCTCGGTTCACGGCTGCTAGCTGACATGGCTGTCCGGTGCGGGTTGTAGCTTCCTGCGGCGGGACTGAAGGTGAGAGTACCCCCCAGCGCGTGCTGCTGCTTCTTGCCTCCGGTTCTCGGGACTGCTTTTGGAACAGGTGTATCATGTCAGCTGTCACAGGACACGCTGCTGGACACCACACTACTAACACCAGCGACACAGACATGGCTGCTGAGCTACAATATTAATGTTAAAGGTGGAGGAGGAGGACAAAAGAGCCTCTGCTCAGACTTTGACCCAGACAAGACTCAAACAGGCCTGTGTCATTAGCCATGTCCCTCTGCTGTCCTCAGGAGGACGCTGCCTGAGGACAGCTCCTGAGACATGTCCCACAGCCTCAGCACTGAGGCCACCTTTACTTGTAACCCTTTTCGTTTTGATAAACTGTTCACCTTTCATTCAACCTTTATTTAGACAGGTTAATCCCATTGAGCCTCGCGGACTCATTTACAAGAGAGACCTGATTTCAACAAAGAGTGATGACAACATGACAACACAACGGTAGATGATCATAAATGATGCATACAAATTGAGAATATCATGTGAAAATGAAATTGTATTAAAAATGTAACACAAAAAAAAAAAAAAAACCCAGCTTGTAAGGCGATGTAGAGACTAAAAACAAGAACATGTCTGTTTTTTGAACGTCCAGAGGACCTGACCTAACTTTATTTAGAATTTTCTACCTGGATTACTGAGCATGCATCAGGATATGTCTGCACTGGTTTTTCCAAGGAACTTAGCAGGTGTTTGAAGCCACTTAGAGATTTTACCCATCTAACGATTTTCATTCAACCTAAATGAAAATTGAATGCAGACAAAGTAAAGCTGGAAAACCTTAGCAACTGTTCACTCGACAATATACAACTGTATCCAGTGTTTCCCCTACCATTATACAGGCGGGGCGCCCCACCCCATCAACAGAACTGAGCACCCCGCCTACCAAACTGAACTTACCTCTCCCACCCCCACCCGGCACTGACATATCACTAAGCTAGCGGCACAAAATACAGGCTCTCTAGCTAAAAAGCCAAATGCAGCACTCACATTGCCTCTTCCCTCATGTTGAACGCCCCCCGCTCAAAACTGTTAGTACAAGCTGCGCTCAGACATGTCCACCCCCATCAGCCAAAATCATGGATGAGATGACAACCCCGCCATGGCAAGCTAACTAGGGCAAACACTGGTATTGTTGGCATTGAAATGTAAGGATCCATCAGGAATGATCTGACCTCTGTACATTACTTACATAGATTATGGTGGGTCCTAAGACTGAGCCTTGTGGTACACCATTGTTGACAGATAGCTGGAAGAAGTACCATTATGTTGAACATTGCCTTCGATCTGAGAGATGATTAGAAAACCAACCAATAGTGTGATCTGAGAAACCAATTTCTGAGAGCTTATGACATGAGATGTAATTGTCTACAGCAGGGGTGTCAAACTCACAAAGGGAGCCAAAATTAAAACCTTTTTCAAACTAAGGGCAAATTTCAGAAACTACATTAACTAAAAATCAGATACCCAATATCTTTTCTTTGTCACAGCTTCCTCAATTTTTCTCATTTGACATTCTCTGTTGTGTTTTCAACATCATAATCAAAGATTACTGAAAAAATTCAAGAGACAGAAGTATTTTACATTTCACATATCATCTTGGGGGCCAGATAAGATATCAACGAGGGCCACATTTGGCCCCCGGGTCTTGAGTTTGACACATATGGTCTACACTATCAAAAGCTTTAGACGGGTCTAAGTAAAAAGCAATAATATGTGGGACTAAACAGTTTTTAACGTTAAAGCTCAGCCAGTGATTCATTATGGTCACCATGGTAACCACACACCTGCATCTGTCACTCCCTGACAGCGGAAACAGACTGAAAAATAACCCTCGAACAAACAGTCACTGTGTGAAACTTACTGACCCGGCCAGGAGCGATAGTAGCTATGCCACTTGTGTGAGTTTTTTTATGTTTCTAAGATGTTTTCTGCTGGAAACATGACGAGTATTAAAGACCCTTCATGTCTGGTTTGGATTAAGAAAATATTTTGAGCTAAAATGTAACTAACATCTGTGGGAGTTTGGCTGAAAGAAGGCAAAAATACTTTGATTAATTTCTATATTCTCACTTCACCACTCGCTCCCCACGAGATCGGATGCTTCTCTCCCTCCCTCTCCGCTTTGCTGCTCTGTCTGTCTGTGAAATTGCTGTGAGACTCTCTTGCATTTCTTCCGAACCATAATTATGGACTTGTTTTGACCAGTTGGTCCCTCATCTCAATTTACAATATTTCTTCGAAGAGAAGACATGCTTTGGGCGAGCCGATTTACCCTGTTGGCACGTACGCAGCTGGATATCTCATCGACTGGAAAACTTGATGATGTGTCTATCTCTGCTGCCATCTGTGGATTTTAAGGACGCATATTTAATTGGATTTTTGATAACTGGTTCCTGCTTTTTGGTTTCAGCTGGTGCTGGTTTTATCTACAATCAAGGAAGTCGTCGGAAGCAAATTTGGACCCGATCACGCTGCTTGCCTTTATGATGGCTTGGTTCATGTCTGGAGTACCCAGACTCAAATGCTTTGGGCTGAATGGATCAGATCTTGGGGATTTTTACTCAGACACGTTTCCATCGGTGTTGGCCATGTTAATTTGGACATTTTGGAACCGAGTGGACCAACACAGACTCAAGGTTGATGTCATTAAGTTCTGCCTGTCCCCAAAACAACTGTGTGTTTATCTAAATTTTGGTCGCCTTGGTTGTCCTTGAAGGCCATCTTATCTAAAGTCGCCTGGAGAAAATGTGATCTGACATTCACCACCCCCCTCCCTGAGGAATTTCCAACTGATAACCTGATGAAACCCCGCTGAAAAAACTTTACGTCATCATTTCAGGACTCTGGATTCTTATTGAGGTTATCCTTGGCCATTCCTCGACATACCTCGAGAATGTTTATGGATCTCACCGGAGGACATTGACTGATTACAGTGACCTCGAGAGCATCTGTAGGCGTTGTTGACCACTCTCGTCTCTTCCTTCTTATGCTCTGCTCTGCAGAATGTCTACGTAAATATGTGCTTGTTTGTACGAAGTGTTTTTTCAATATTAGGGGTTTTTCTCAGCCAAGAAAAAAGTCTGATAGGAATTTTTTTCGCCTCCAATTCCTACATGTGTCCAGTTAACCACTGTTTTTTTTGTCTGTCCAAACAGGTCTCACTTGTAAATGAGTCTTCGAGGCTCAATGTGATTTATCTGTTTAAATAAAGGTTGAATGAATGAATATGCACCAAAAAAGCTGTAGTAACAAGTTTTGTTTGCAAAGGTTTTGAAATTTTAGACATTTCAAAAGCTAGGTGTGACATAATACGTTGTGTTAAAAATAGCCTTAAACTTTGATTGTTTAAAACTTGTAAAGAGTATCAGAACGCCCATTCAGTAACCTAAAGCCCAGCGTTCTGCGGCCCGTTTAAACTTTGAATGATGTTTCTGTGATGTATACCTGTGAGCTCTAACGAGGGTGGCTTTTCTCACGTTTTGCCATAATCCCCTTGATCACTGTTGTTTTTTGTTTTGTTTGTTCGAGCAGTTTTATCGCACAAACGTTTGTTTACGTCCTACGACGTACCGCTCAAGTCATTTAGTGCACCGTTTCCGATCGAGATGCACTTTTTTTATGTATAAATTAGCATTTTGTTTCAAATCTGCGCAATGAGCTACTGGCCTTATTTTAATGAAATAGCTATAAAGATGCTTCATTGTTTGTGCATTGACACCCTTAATAAATAATGCAGACTAGAACTAGAGGTAGCTCTGAGTAAAGTGCGTGTTTGACCACGAGGACATTTTCTGATGCACAAACTTTGACTTGAAACATTTAGGTTCTTTAACGCATGTCTCCAGTTGTACAAAGCCTTGACTGTCTGCTCGGCTTTCCACTAAAACACGAATTTCATCCCAGCTGTGTCACGTTCTGCAGAGCCCACATGAACCTAGTTCTTTGGGCTTCTTTGAGGCTGATCTGTTATCGGCTGCCCCAGGCATCTCGGTGTACACTCAGCTGCTCTTTCATTCAGATGTCAGCATGAAGACTTAATTATTGTAGCCCAGAGGTGAGATGCTGCTGCATTTGAAAAACTCTCACATTGCAGCTTACATGGCTCTTTTTATTTTCGTAAAGCTACTGCTAAATTCTTTTTGCCCGCTCTGTAGGTCAGGATGGTCTTCGCTCCTAAAGACTGAGGAGTCATTTTGATAAAAACTCAAAAGGGTCGGAGAGGAGAGAGGCGGTCCGCAAACACATTGAGGTGTTGACGGGATTAAAGATGACGTGAGAAGAAGGAACAGAGAGGATGTTTTCTCTTATCAGCCAGTCTGAACATGAAGCTGACCTGGGTCACCCTGCAGTCGCACATGCACACAAAAATAACCTCACAACATGGAATGTGTGACCAGAAGAACACAGCTCTGTGGAGTGTTTAAACCCTGTCATTGTGCGCAGCTTCTTCAGACAGGGTTAGGTTTTTTTATTTTTTCCTGCGCAGGAATGCCTCCACATTAAAAAGCTCCTGGCTGACAGTCAGTAAACGTCTAATGAGGTGGAGGAGCATCTTTGCAAGAAAATAAGGCTTTTTGTTTGTTTTATTTCGCTTTTTTATGTTTGCAAAGTCAAACAAACGACGTTACATTCTCATGCAATACTGTGGGTGTGGCATGATGTGTTTGTGCTTAAAGATAATGTTGAGGATGACTCTCAGCCTCTACTGCAGTTTTACTTCAATATCTGTAAAATTGACTGTTAGGTATTTTTGTGTTGCTATCAATTAGCTGTGGCAGCCATCTTGCATGGAGTCGACACCAAAAGTTGATCACTTGTGAATTTAATCTAGTGACTACTTTCTGAGAGTTTCATGAGATATTTGCTAACACTACTGACAAACGTACACATTTTCTGAAATCTTTTTAACTAAAACTAGGCCTGTCACGATAACTAATTTTGCTGGGCGATTAATTGTCTCAAAAAATATTGCGATAAACGATAATATTGTTTGAAATTTGACAATAATTAGTCATTTTCAAATTGAAGAAGAAATGTTGGTTAATTTTTGTGTGTAGTACTTTTTTTGACCACTCGATGGCAGTATACGACTGTTTGAACCGAAGGATGGATAGTGAGGGAGCGAGCAGCGTGTATTTAAGAAAAATGGGAGGGAGGCCCCTTGACGTGACGTGGGCTGTCTCTCCTTCCTGTTTTTTGTTTCTCACAAACGGTGGACGCTCGAGTACATTGAGGTCTTTAGCATAGCATTTGTCTCACAAAGCTTTTAATAAAAAAATCAGTAAAGAAGTTCTCAGCTTCTTTTTGCAGAGAAAAACAACTTTTTAAACGAAGGCACGAGTTTCAACCGTGAATTTTGGAGCTTTGACAAGACGGAGGTTTTTTTTTCCCGGGGTCGGCCTGTTAGCTTAGCTCGTAGCTTAGCTGCTTTTAGCGATCCAAAAATGCAGTTTTGGATCATTAAAACAGATTTTAAAGAGAAATGGAGGGGTCAGTGAAGAGCACCGGAGTTGAGCCTTTTGTCATCCAGCGTCTTCAATAGAAAGAGAGAGACACGAAGAAATGATAAATGAAAACGAGGCCGATAATTTTCATTTATCATAAGGTTAATTGATTTATTGTTTGTTGTGACAGTCCTAACTAAAACATGTCTTTAGTGAGACACTTTCAGCATTTGTTGGGAATAAATGCAGAATCTGAACATCTAAAGTGTAATAACTACCAGTAGACGGTGATCTGCTTGAATTTTGAGATGGAAAAAATAGTCTGTGCCAGCTCCGACATTAAAACACACTTGAACCAGCAGCTCAAAGCTTGAGTTCTTGAGTTCTTGCTGAGATTTCATGCCAGCAGGCTTCCTGCATGAGGCCTGGCAGCAGGAAGTGGGGTGCCTAATCAAGAGGCGGTAAACATGCCCCCTCCCCGAGGAAAATGGAGGGAACATTCCTTAGATAGAGCGGCGAATCAAAGTGTTCGGCCAAAACGAGGCTTCACACACGATCTTGGAGTGACGGTAACAGAAAAGATCAGTGAGTTTGGCTGAAGAACAGGTGGAAAATAAAGTTTTTTTAGATTAAGGTAATTAAAGTAAAAGTTAAGTCAGGTCCTCTGGATGTATTAAAAAATTTAAAACATAAAAAAACTTGAAACATTTTGTCTTTTATCCAAAAGACTTTGTCAGTTTAAGGAGTTGCAATGAACTCAGTCTTATAAATAGCACCTTCTCATAGTGGATCAACCAGTTTGTTGTTGACATACATAATTAGCTGTTCGCATGCTAAAGGAGGACCATTAGCCTAATAATTGGTTGTTAGTCCAACAATTGGTCAAAAGTCTCTCAGCATCACCTGATGGCCGCTTGCTATTCACAGGGGACTGAGTGATACTCACAATAACAGCATTGTAAGAGGGGGACAGCAGGACACGGAGACCCCCGCCCCTGTTTAATGACGGACGGGTTCTCTTCTCAAAGATGGCTTCCTTTACTCCTCTCAAACCAACGTTCCTCTTTATCATGAACTGTCTCTCGCACAGTGACTGTTGGATATGGGCACCAGTGACCCCAGTGACCCGAAAAGGGAAGAAGCAGGTAAAAGAGGATGGATGGATAGTTCTTGATGTAAACAACAAACTGGGAAGGTGCTATTTATAAAACTGAGTTTATTGCACCTCCTCAGACTGACAAAGTCTTTTGGTTAAAAGTGAAACGTTTCAACAAGTTTTTATATTTTTTTATTTTTTGAATCCGTCCAGAGGACCTGATTTAACTTTGTTGGATTTTTCTAGCTGGATTTTTGAGCGTGCATCAGGATATTAATTATCTTAAGTTTTCCTTGCTCCTTCCGAATAAAAGATCCGTTTCAAATTTTTGCTCAGATAAGTCTCCAGCATCAAAGGAGCTCCTTCTCTTTTAGTTTCACGTGAAGTTAATTTCATCTCCTGAAGCTGTGAGGGCTTAAACACTGCCAGTGTGACATGCTGATCCCAGTGCAGCGCTACGCTGATCACATTCGGCGGTTCCTGATAACGGCTTGGAGTTTCACACAGATGGACCCCAGTGTTTGCATAGTGTGTGTGAGGACACGTCAGCAGCATGTTTGCAGAATGTGGGAGGTGTGCTGGTTACACACTCAGGTACAGTGTACACAGAAGCTGTGACAGTTTCAGCAGGTGCACGGCACACAGAAGTGCTGAACAACCGAGCTGGGGGGGACAGCAGGGTGGAGCGCTGCAGTAAACACTGACAGAAGACGGGGTGTGGGTCTGTGCGGTGTTTGTCTCACCTGCTCCTGATTTTATGTCCTCCTTGCAGTAACCTCTCACCTGCTGTCTAACAGTCCCTCTTGTCTCCTCCTTCCAGAGGATGGGCTCAGTGTTCCGGTTCCTGAGGAGATGTCTTTGGGTCGGCTCCTTCGGCGCGCCTCTTCCAAAGCCTCCGACCTCCTGACCTTAAACCCTGGGGCGGGGGGATCATCGTTGCGCTCAGGGCTGGATGGCGAGATCATCTTCTCCAAAAATAATGTCTGTGTGCACCCTGCGGAGCCGCTCCCTGGCCTGGCTGACCACCACCCAGGTCAGGCTGAACACATCCAGTTTCTAAACGTGGTTCTGATCAGAAGGACCTGCTGTCCCGTCTGCCTTTGTCTTACTGAGCTGGTTCTTCAGAATCTTTACACAACTCTTTAACATGTCACTGGCAACAACCAACATGTGCTTCCTACGTTTTTACCATGTATTCAAAATGCTTAAAACACTAGAAATATAATGTTGCTATGCTGGTGCACGCTCCGTTTCTTTTCTTGTTCTTTTCAGCTCCACCTTTCACTTCAGACGTTTGATTTTCACATTTCTAATAGGAAAGCTGATGTTTCTTGGATATTGTGTTGTCAAAAGAAAAGTTTGTTTTTCAAGTGACTCGCTCATGACAATATGAAGGATTTATTTGGCATATATGGATTTTGTTTTTGTTAAATCATCAGGAAATTAAATATAGTTGATAACTTATAAATTCTGCATAAAACTTAAGATATAGCATAAATTACAAGTAATTATTGCTATGCAGGGTACTAACTAAACATTTAGATCAGTTAGTCTAACTGAAGACAAAATGTGGCAAATGTATAAAATAAAATAGTTTTTTTAATCTAATTTATAAAAGGTGCTTGATTTAATATAAAGTGTTATAACTATGATTATGTTATTTTTTTTAAAGCTACGATACTGCAACAAAAAATAGCTTTTTATTTTGTAGACATGTTTAGAAATGGTGTAAAGTCTTTGTTTCAGCTGTTGGACAGACGTTGTGGCTGACAGAAATACTTTATTTTGCTTTTATTTTCTTCAGCTGCTTTATATCGTTTGCAAAACTCTCACTTCTCACTGCTTTTTATTTTTCAAATATTATTTTTATGTTACGAGGCCAGACCTACACCTAGCATGGAGGATCAGATAACAACAAGCTGAAAGTACCATCTATAAAATTAGGGTTCCTACTAACAATAAACTGGTAAATGGTTTGGATAAAATAAAAACATTTGAAACATATTATTAATCTTTACACAGTCAAACTACACACATACTGATGAAAATGAGATGTTTAACTTTTTGAATTCATTAGACCTACCTTCTCTTGTAGGGAACCTAACCTCATTATTAATGTACGAAGAAATGGAGAATGCTATCACTTGCCTTAATTCAAATAAATCACCTGGTACAGATGGACTCCCGAACGAATAATACAAAACTATGAGGGGAAGTCTTCTACCTTTATTGGAAACCAGTTTTAATTATATTTTGAAAGGAGGATCCGTGCCTCCCTCTTGGAGCCTTCATATCCGTAATACCAAAGGAGGGAAAAGATAAACAGATTTTAAATCTTATAAGTGTTTTGAATTGGGACTATAAATTATACACAACCATTCTAGTAAGCAGAATGGATACAGTAATGCCTTTATTATTTGATGAAGACCAAACTGGTTTTCTGAAAAACAGACAAACTGACAATATTAGGAGAGCCCTGCATATCAACTAAAAGAATGAGGGGGAAAACAGTTAAATGATTCTTGGCCTCGAGGGAGAAAAAGTAGGAATGCACAATATTGGATTTTTGGCAGATATCTGATCTGTTAAACTTATTTTGCCGATACCGATATTTTTATATATCTACCTTTGTCAGAATATAGCCTCTTATTTAGGCTTATTTGCTACAAAAATTGTGCAACAGCTGTAAGAGCTGGTGACATATATTCAGTAACAGCCATATGCATAGCACTTTAACTTATATTAAATGAAAAGTGTTAAATGTTATTTATTAGCATTAGTCGCCTGCGATGCTGTCTCACTTGTGGAGGCTTGTTCCAGGTTCCTAGCTGCAGTGTGGGATCCTCTGCACTCCTGTGCATGAAGGACAGACTTTTCAAATTCAAAGTTTTTGTCTATCCATTGTGCCGTAAGACTAATCATGCTAACGGGGCTAACACGACGTCCAAATGTCTGTGGTGAAACTCACCCAACAAGTCGTGCTATCGGCTGTTAGCTTCTCAATGACGTCGGAAATGACGGCTTGTAACTCGGGTAAAGTTACGTTGGAAAAATATCTGACTGGGGACGATGTAGCGAGGCTCAACGAGTCCAAAAATCTTCGGAATCCGACATCCTCACCAGCAAAAAAAAAAACCTTCCACACTGCCGACATTTTGAATTTTCCTCTCCGACGTGAGATCAGGTAGGTGCTCGTGACGTCATCATGTTGTGCTGGTGCTGCAGGCGTCCTTGTCACTGGGTTGTCGTACAAAAACAGCGTCTTTTATATCGGTGAGTTATTTTGATGGAATGGCCGATGTCCGATATTGAACTTTAACGCTAATATTGGCCGATACTGATAATATCGTGCATCCCTAAGAAAAAGCTTATGACTCAACATTGGGACATTATCTACTTGGTAATGAAAATATTTTGTTTTTTCAATGACTTTATACTGTAAAACATATCCAGACTCTTTACTCCTCTCCCACTGCCAGAATTAAAACTACTGGTAGCCTCTCCAACCCTATAACTTTTGGAACATAAATGTAGGTGTGCCCAGCAAGCCCAATTCTATTTAATTTGTTTATTGAACCCCTTTCCCAAGCTATACACCAGGAAACGGCATTAAAGTGCATTTTAATAGACAAAGAGGAATATAAAGTATGTCTATACACCGATGATATCCTAGTTACAATCGCAGACCCTGATGCAGGTCTACCAGTGTTAATGAGAACGTTAGAAATGAATGCGCTCAGTGTCAATGAAACACAAGTCATGACATTTAATGTCCATCCAGAACACACCACAATATCCAAATGCAGGTGTGATTGGTGTTCAACTAGTATTAAATACTTGGGGGTATATCTACCTAAAGATTTGTCTCAAATATACGGTATTAACCATAATTGTATTAATGAAGAAATATACTGTGATCTTAACACCTGGAGCCTCTTCTTCTTGACTTCAGCATCAGAATACAGATAATGAACATTCTTCCTAAATTATTGTACCTTTTCCTTACTTTGCCCATACCTTTCCTCGAGAAACAGTTTAGGGAATGGAACAAACATATTTCAAGATTCATCTGGTTTAAAGTTTTCTACTCTGCAGTTGCCGAGTGAGGGAGGGGGCCTGGCTCTACCCTTCTTGAGGGATTATTGCATATCTGCCCAATCAAGACCTTTGGTTTGCTGGTGTAACCCATCTAATTGTGTGAAATAGAAAAATATTAAGATGACTCTTTCCGATACATCAAACCCAGTCTAGGCTTGGCCAGGCAGCGCTTGAGAAGGAATTTCCTTTGACAATCAGCCAGTGGGTTAATCTGACATTGAAATTTTGGAAGGAATTGGTGGGGCAGCTATAACTCCAGGAGGAGATAAAACTTCTTAAGTGGCCAGCTTATGACCCTAATTTTTTTTTGTCTGCATCCCAAGACACTAGATTTAAACAGTGGGTATTGCATAATATTACCACTGCATGCACGGTTATTGAAGGTCTAAACCCATAATGTTTGACACTTTTTGTAAGCCTGCAATGGCTTACAGAAGCAAGTTTTTATTGTTTGGATACTTACAATTATGCGACTATATTAGAAAAAGGATAAACAACTGTACAATTAGAGACTTCTCAATAGTTAATGTTTTTATTAACTCTTATAACTCTGGAAGAAACAAAGCCCTTATAAGTACACTGTGCCAACGTTTGATCAAACTTGGAGGGAACTCGACAAACTACATGAAACAAAAATGGGAAAAAGAAATACACATTGGGGTAGCAGAGAATATGTGGATAAAGGTCTGGGAAGTACAGTTGACATCAGCTAACTCCATCGCCTCACGTGACTTTGGCTGGAAGAACATTATCTGCTTCTTCATAACACCTAAACTAAAGTCTAAACTCTGCTACTTCTGCTTTGTGCGGGAGAAATTGTGGGGAAGCCGTAGCAGATCATGGACATATGGACAGAAGTAACAAAAATCATTAAAAAAAACCACTGGGGTTTAATATCACTTGTTCCTTCACTTCAATGTTTCTGGGATGTTTTCTGGATGAACTAGCCACAAATGAGGTTTACCTTTTGAGATTTTTTTTTTTTTTAATTTGTTAAAAAGGCCATAACAAAATGCTGACTATGTAAAGACTCTCCCACTATGAACCTCCATTGTGGAAAACATTAAACTGATGAAACGTATGACTTTCACTCTACGCCTACAGGGGGAATTGGGAGTTGGGCTTTGGAGAAAATGGCTGGATTTTAAACAGTGACGGTGCTCGTTAACCCACACAGCATATTTTTCTTTTAATTAATTTTGTCAACTCATCCATTCATTATCTTTTACCTGCTTCTTCCTTTCTGGGTCGCGGGGGTCACTGGTGCCCATGTCCAGCCATCACTGTGCGAGAGGCAGGGGACACCCTGGACAGGTCCAAGTCCATCACAGGGACACATAGAGACAAACGAAACAAACACTTGACCTCATAATGTTGTTTTTTATTGTTCAAAATGTTCATAAACAAAAGGATAAAATAAATTAGTATTTTTATTAGTAGTATTAATATTACTAATTATTATTATTAGTTGTATTAGTAGTATACAGTAATAGTAAATTAGCACTGTACCTGCTTTGAAATTTCACAGCATGTTTCCACATTTTTCATCTCTTCCCTTGTTTTTCTCTTTTTTGCAAGTTTCAAAGTTAAAACTCAATTTTCAGGTTCCCCCTCTCTGTGTCCTCACATCTTGTTTGTCTTGTTGCAACTGTCTGCTGCCTGTAAAACCTTCATCACTTCCTCCTTTCCTCTCAGTGGGATCGCTCCTAACAGAAACGTGGGTTTTGCTGCCCCCTGCAGGCTACTTGTGTGTACATGTGGAGAAGGATGAGAGCCTGGGGACCACCCTGATTCTGACCTGGGTGCCAAATTCCCGCATCCAGAGGCAGGACGAGGAGGCGCTGAGGTACATCACTCCAGAGAGCTCGCCTGTGCGCAGGAACGCCCGCCGCAGAGGCAGAAGGTACGAGAAAACCTGTTCTAACAACGTCCTGGTGACTTATTTAAACCTCTGTAGGTATAAATAACTCCTTGCAGTTCACATCCTCCAGTAAATTCAAGTTAGGGGGAAGAGCAGTCAAATTTTAGTTGGTGATGATTTTATGTTAAAACCATCCGTCCTCTCTAGGCCACGCTCGCGTCCTCCAGCAGCTCCGGAGGACGTCGAGGACGATGAGAAGAACACCTCCACTGAGAGCCAAAGCCTGGTGGGAGAGGGAGGTCCGGATCCCCTCTCCTACCAGCAGCATCTGCTCTCGGCTGGAGAGGAGGGCGACGAGGGTTCCTGCGAGCTGTCGGACGAAGTGAGCCGGGACAGCACCATGGGTTCAGACTCGGACACCTTCTCGTCCCCGTTCTGCCTGTCTCCTGTCAGCGAGGCTCTGTGTGAGAGCAGCGGCTCCGTCTTCCTGGACAACGAAAGCAGGTCAGTAAGAGGAAGAGCGTGGGCGTAGTTTGTTTTTAAAACCGAAACTAATCGAAGAACAGAGTCGTTGTGTTTCCTCTGTTTAGTAAATAAGTTTTTGAAAGTTCTACTTGCATTAATAGATACAAATACACAAAGCAACGCTATCAGGGACATTTCTTACAGTGACATTTTTTTCTCATTGTATGTCTCCATCTACTTTTAAATATGAAAAAAGGACAAGAAAATAATTTCGAATCAGCTTTATTGTCGTTGCACCGAAGCACAACGAAATTACATTTCAGTACCACCCGTCCAAGAAAACATAAACAGACAGGCTTGGGGAGACGGAGGTGTCTGAGGCTGCAGCCTTCGGGAGGCGCTGCCCTTTTTGTTTAGATAAGACAAAGAAAAACACGAGGGGAGGTATTAAAAAAATCATATCTCGTAATGTGTCCTAGACTGGACGCAGTGTGAGAGTTGCAAAAAAAGACCTCGGCACAGAAAAAGCAACATACAACATAAGACATAAAACTTATGCGTGTGGAGTGGGTGGGGGGAGGCCAGCGAAGGCGTGAGATTATTAATTAATTATCAATTATTTCATTAAGATCCACACAGTTCTCAACTCAGTAGTTAGCAACGTTTGTGCTGCAGAATTATTCTTCCTTCTCTTTATGCTTTTGTATTTGCTTTGTGTGTATTTTGCATCCTAGTAATATAGATTTAGATTTTCTTATGTCAAACTGCTAAATTTCCAGTTTCAATGTGATGTCAGAGCACAGCCTGCTCAGATTAGAAAAAAACAAGAACTTCTTTTGTTGTTTCCTTTAAATCTAAATGTATTTGACCAAATCCTCATTATGTGTTGTTTATTAAAGCTGCTGGTTGCTGTTCCTTTAATTATAACTCCGTTATGAGTCGGGAAACAATGCATTTTCTCCCTGTGTGTTCGCGTACAGCAGTAAGGTTGTTGCCGTCATTACACACACACTGAATGTTGTTTCCTCTGTCCAAACTAGAAAAATTAAGTAGCAACATAAATAAAAAGAAATGAGTAAATAAACACCCATAAAGTTGTGAAAAGGCTTTAAAAACATTCATCACAATAATTATAAGGATTTCAAACACCTCTGTTTTAATCTGAGATTTAGAGTTTTAACTTTGACCCTTATGTTATTTAAAACATCTTTTTAGAGCTCAATTTTTAATTGTGTTTTCTCATAAAATCTGGCAAATTATTATTATTTTACTCATCTGTCTTATGGAACATGGTAACTTTACTCATTTCTGTAGTATTTTGTAACCAACGATATTTTCTCTTAAGGAGTTGTGTGATTTAAAAAAGTATTAACAAGTGAATTAGTTGTTATCAGTTTATTGACAACAAATAAAATCTACTCAAGTATGGTTTGCTTTATAAATTCATACAGTTGTAGGATATATATTTTAACGGAGTAATAGAAAAGATTGACCGATGCTCTATGTAGAGACGATGTGTGTGAATGTGTACTATACTGATGGAAAAGGTTGTTTTTGATCCGATTCAGCTCATTTCTTCCTGTACAGAAAAATAATATAAACATCTAATGAGGAACATGGACTTAGTTTTTGTTCAGCGTCTCAGTAATATTACCAAATGGATTTGAGTTTTTATGATTAGATCCTTACTCTCCTGACTTATCCTGACCCAGATGTTATCTTCCGTTTTTAAAAACTAGATTTATTCATTCATTCAACCTTTAATCGTACAGGTTAGTCTCGTTGAGCCTCGAGGACTCATTAAGAGAGACCTGGTTTAAACAAAGAATGATGACAGTAGACAATCATAAAAGAAAGCATATAAATTGAAAAAATAAATAGAAGAAAAAGAAATAAAAAAAAAATGAACGTGGATGTCATTAATTATGGTTTAATTAGTTGAACTGAAATATATGCATTTGTTTCGGTTTACCTTGGTTTGTTGTATTAATACAAAGCTTGTTCCTCACTTTAACTTTTTCTAATGTTAAACGTTTCAAAGCCAGTTAACACACCATATTATATTATATTATTGTTTAGCATATCTCTTAAATTCTTGTATGCCGTTTCTTTTTTTGCACTTTATATTTTTGCTATTTTTGGGTGTAAGTGGGACCTTGAGTACACCATTTCATTCCACCTCATGTACCACATGTGATGTGAATGACAATAAAGATAGTTGAACCTTAAATTAAATATAATTGCTCTCTAAAGAAATTTTTTTTTTTTGTATTTTAGACAAAAAAAAAACTCCCTAATTATGTAAAAAATAAAAAAAAGTTTTAATGACTTTCTCTTGAGTCATTCAAACCTGGGCGCTTATTTAGTGTAAGATGGAAAAGTTTATTTAAATGGTTTAAAGTCACCAGCAGGTGGAGGCAGAAAGAAAAGAATTGAGAGGAGGTTTTAGTCTGAGACCACATGGTGTCTCACTTCTCTACAGCTGAAGGTCTCTGGGGAGCTGAAGCAGGTAGATGACTTCAGCAGGGTGTGTGTGTGTGTGTGTGTGTGGGGTGGGAATAAAAAATGTGTTTACTTATTTAAAGCAGCTCAGTCTCCAGAGTTTTAAAAGAACATCGCAGATTTAAGCCGAGCTCTGCAGAGCTAGAAGCCATGCTTTTCCAGGCTGCTCTCTAATCGAGGCAGCCATCTGGACAGAGATTGTGTTCCTGTTTGGACCTCGGAGCCATTTAATTTTATGATTCCCTTCGTGGTTGTTTCCTCACGCAGCTATTTGCCTGACGCGCTGCCCAGAATGTGTGAGCCTGTGTCAGACAGTGAGTCAGTGTGTGTTTTTAGGCGTTTTTAACCTCTTTTCTGACTTCAGCTCGCTGTAAGTGCAGCCGGTATGTGACTTGGCAGACCTCTCCATCTCACAGCTTCTAATCTTCACTCTGTGTCACATTTCAACCACTTCTGGTCTTTTTTTTTTTCATTAGTTTTAGGATCCATATCTGTCACATCCTACCTCTTTTTTTACTCTGCATCTATCGGTGTTACCCACCTCTCAGATACCTCAGCCCTCCCTCTTTCCCCTTCTCTTCCTAAAGTCTGTGTGAAGGCCTTTGATTCCCAGTGCTCCCAGGGTTGTTATGCTGGGCTGAATGTCAGCTCCCCGGATTAGAGCTCTGAAGAGAGCAGAGTAGCAGCCAAAACCCTGGAACCCACTCAATCTCCCTTTCTCTCTCGCTTGCTTTAATTGACACTGTTAAGGGGCCAGGAACTGGAAACATGTCACTTGGAATCATTCAAAGAGAAAGAGCCGTGTATGGGAAAAGGAGGGGGAGCGGATGAAAAGTGGGCAGAAAGAAAGGACGGCAGGAGGGAGGTCTAAAAAAGGAGAGAAATCTACGGCGATGTCTGTCAAGCTCCTTAACAAGTTTCTTTAAAGTTTTAGTTGAGGAACCTGTCACCTTAAACTTGAACATGCAGAAATGGCTTCCAGTCATTTTGTTTTCAATTGAATCATGTTCTGTTTGCATAAATTGTATACCTTGAAGAGTATACAATAACAAAGTAACTAATAAAATTGTTTTTGCAGATTCTTGTTAGAATTAAAAATCAGCTGATTAGTAGTTTTGCTCACTGATCCAGAAGATGATCTTTAGTGATGGATTTATGAAGTAAACTTGCTTTAATTTCGTTTTTTTTTACCCATAAATATAAAAGTTTAATATTCGTACATGTCGCGTTTGATTAGATTTTGTAAAAGAAGGGTTTCCTGATAATTTGGCTTTGGGCTAGCTGAGGATCTGTAGACATTCTTATCTGTGCTACATTTTATTAATCGCTCCAAATTCAGTTAATTGCATCAAAATATTTCCTCTCTATAAGTCACATTTTCTGTGACTTGACGGTAGGAGCTCACTGCGAGTGTTATAGGCTTGTTGGCGACTCATAATGTGAATAAAATGTCAAAAATAGATGCAAGATTTCAATGGCAGTCCGACTGAAGTATGTTTTCAACCAAGTGATCAGTGAGGACTTTTTTTTTTTCTTTTTGGCATGCCCAAATTTCAAAAAGCTTATTTATGAGTGTATGTCTTACAAAACTTCCTCTAGCGAGGAACACCTCAATTGCTTTAGGCCACTTTGGAGACTTCTTTCTGGTTACCTTTCACCAACTCGTCTCCAATATTTTCAGACCTGCGTGGTTGTTCAAGAGGCCACCCCGTCACAAGTGCAATGACACCAGATCACAACTTTGTTGCAGACACTTACCTTATAATTTGGCTTATTTGTCTCATCTGTAACGACGCATAAAATGTAAAAACTATAGAGTTTGACCAGTTTTTCAGCTTCAAAGTTCAAGGTTTCAAGGTTTTTTTTATTGTCATTCACATCACATGTGGTACATGAGGTGGAATGAAACTATGTACACAGGGTCCCAGTTACATCCAACAAAAATACAAATTGTAAAGAAAAACAGTAGTAAGATCCAAGACATGAAACAAGAAATACACTAAACCAAGAACACACTAAGCACTAAACTAATAATACATTAAACTAATAATACATTAAACTAATAATACATTAAACTAATAATACATTAAACTAAGAATACATTAAACTAAGAATACACTAAACTAAGAATACACTAAATGCACTAAACTAATAATACACTAAACTAAGAATATATTAAACTAAGAATACATTAAACTAATAATACACTAAACTAACAATACACTAAACTAATAATACACTAAACTAATAATACACCAAACTAGTAATAACTAAATGCAGTAAACTAATAATACACTAAACTAACAATACACTAAACTAATAATACACCAAACTAATCAATCAACCTTTATTTATACAGGTAAATCCCATTGAGCCTAGAGGACTCATTTACAAGAGAGACCTGAGTGTATACACTAAATGCACTAAACTAATAATACACTAAATGCACTAAACTATAATACACTAAACTAACAATACACTAAACTAATAATACACCAAAC